ATAAAAATACTGCCCAACTAATTTTATATCTGAATTGGAGTTTACTAAAAACCAGATTAAATTGGGAATTTAGCTGAAGGCCAAGTTAAAGGTAAAACTTATTCAGGCTTTTTTTTATATTTAATAAATATTTAATATTGATGCAAGTCAATAGATAAGTCTATAKACTAATTGAAATACAACTTTTTCCTTTGCTTATCTTTATGCCTTCTTCAGCAATCTCGCAGTCCTTTAGTATCTTAATTATTATATAGTATATCATATTTAATTTTATATTTTGTAAGACATTTACTTTGTGCATACAGAAAACTGGTTTGCTTGCACGCGAAGCTGCTCAATTAAATAACTTTCCGGCAGTTCGATGTCCTTTTCAAACTTTTTGATTGCCCTTTATTTGGTTGATTTACAGAAAAGGTTTGTTTACACTCGTGTTAGGTTTCTTAATCATCAATGGGTATTTCCTAAACACAACAACTTTGCCATTAAATTGCGTTTAAGTTATATTACACTAAATGCGCTTCAGCTGCCACCTACCTCAATGTATTCAATGCGATTTGAATTGCTTTGCTTCGGTTTGCTTTGGTTGGCAACGATTTTGCGTGGGCTCAAGCGAACAATTGCCGAAAATAGGTAAAACGCGTGCAAAATGTCAACAGAAGGACAAATTCGAGTACAACAAACAAATTAGAGTGTAAAGCAGCTGCAGCWACAACAATGACAACAACAACACATTAACAACAATAACAGCCATAAGTAATAATTATAATGCTTCAACTGCTGATCATAAGCAGATCGACAGCCTGGACGACCCTGGACCACAGCGAAGGCAGCGGCAGCGGCAGCGACGCTTCGCGACGGCAACAGCTCCAAAGAGTGTGGGCAACAACAACAACAGCAACATCTCAATGCGTGTGCAAAAAAAAAAAGTAAATAAACGTTTCATAAAAGCAAATAAATGCGTGAACAACAACAARCAAACAAACATGGCCAACACAATGCTGATAAAAGCGCCTTTTAGACCCAATTGATAAATATACCCATTGCAAATAATTATTGCTAAATGGGGTGTTTTGTTTTGCTGCTAATGTATGTAAGAGGCAGCAGAAGGCAGGCATATAAAAATACGACCATGCCGTATATAAAAATATATTTTATTTTTAAGCGATATTAAAAATGGAATCAATTTAATTAGCCTTTCGTGTAGGTGTCATATATATTTAGCTCTCTGCCTTTCTATCTGCCCAGCTGCCTGTCTATCCTGTTGTTCTGTTTGTGCTTTCATACGTCTGTTGATATCTCTGTCTATCCTTTCGATTGCCTCTACAGGTCTGTCCATCGATTTGTCTGCAGTCTGTCCATCCCTTAAAATGCCAGAGTGCCCATTCGTATAATATTATAATATAACATTATTATATTATATCTTATTATATT